CATGTTTGGCACTGGTAGCACAATGTCGGCCAAAAAACTGTGTTCAAGTTCACAAAAGCTGCCTCAGAAAACTGTTCACCAATGTGTGTATGTATGGAATGTGTGTATGCATGTATAAGTGTGTGTGTGTATAGGTGTGTATGTATGGAATGTGTGTGTGCATGTATAGGTGTGTATGTATGGAATGTGTGTGTGCATGTATAGGTGTGTATGTATGCAATGTGTGTGTGTGCATGTATAGGCGTGTATGTAAGGAATGTGTGTGTGCATGTATAGGTGTGTATGTATGGAATGTGTGTGTGCATGTATAGGTGTGTATGTATGGAATGTGTGTGTGCATGTATAGGTGTGTATGTATGCAATGTGTGTGTGTGCATGTATAGGCGTGTATGTAAGGAATGTGTGTGTGCATGTATAGGTGTGTATGTATGGAATGTGTGTGTGCATGTATAGGTGTGTGTGTATGGAATGTGTGTGTGCATGTATAGGTGTGTGTGTGCATGTATAGGTGTGTGTGTATGGCATGTGTGTGTGCATGTATAGGTGGTGTGTGCATGTATAGGTGTGTATGTAAGGAATGTGTGTGTGCATGTATAGGTGTGTATGTAAGGAATGTGTGTGTGCATGTATAGGTGTGTATGTATAGAATGTGTGTTTGCATGTATATCCATAAATATATGTGTTTTTTGTTTGTGCATTTATGTCTATGTATGTGCAGAACACACAGAAATCCTACATGATCGGAGCAGAATTGGCTCATAAACAGCATCCTGCCCTGGAAGCTGGAGTGTTGTGAAAAGGTTAAGAAGCCTGCTGGTCTGCAGAGAACGGTCGTTTCCGGAAAAAGAGGCAGATGCAGATGCATTGGATATGAGCACAAATAGAGCTGGAGAATTAACTAGAGCAGTGATCTTCAACCTGGGGGTGGGGAGGGGGGGGGGAGCGCCCCCATCCCTTCCATCGCCCGTCAAGACAAACCAGTCCAAACCATCACACTTATATTTAGACACTGCTAAATTAACAGTTGTTGGTCATTTTTGGTTTCCTTCGTTTTCTGGCACTTTGATTTATGTGGATTTCTAATGTCTTGATTTGATCTCTTCTTGTGACACCGGCAGCTCTCCTAAGACATCTGATCTCTGTTGTTACGATCTTCCGCTCATTAGTTGTAGTAAGGGTCCATGTTTGGCACTGGTAGCACAATGTCGGCCAAAAAACTGTGTTCAAGTTCACAAAAGCTGCCTCAGAAAACTGTTCACCAATGTGTGTATGTATGGAATGTGTGTATGCATGTATAAGTGTGTGTGTGTATAGTGTGTGTGTATGTATGTGTGTGTGTATGTTGTATAGTGCATGTATGTATGTATGGAATGTGTGTGTGCATGTATAGGTGTGTACATGTATGCAATGTGTGTGTGTGCATGTTTTTCTGTTTTCTGCACTTTGATTTATGTGGATTTCTGTGTCTTGATTTGATCTCTTCTTGTGACACCGGCAGCTCTCCTAAGACATCTGATCTCTGTTGTTACGATCTTCCGCTCATTAGTTGTAGTAAGGGTCCATGTTTGGCACTGGTAGCACAATGTCGGCCAAAAAACTGTGTTTGGCAAGTTCACAAAGCTGCCTCAGAAAACTGTGTCACCAATGTGTGTATGTATGTATGAATGTGTGTATGCATGTATAAGTGTGTGTGTGTATAGGTGTGTATGTATGGAATGTGTGTGTGCATGTATAGGTGTGTATGTATGGAATGTGTGTGTGCATGTATAGGTGTGTATGTATGCAATGTGTGTGTGTGCATGTATAGGCGTGTATGTAAGGAATGTGTGTGTGGTGCATGTATAGGTGTGTATGTATGGATGTGTGTATGGATGTATAGGTGTGTATGATGTATAATGTGTGTATGTATGATAGATGTATGTGTGTGTGTGTGTGCATGTATAGGTGTATTGATGTATGCAATGTGTGTGTGTGCATGTATAGGCGTGTATGTAAGGAATGTGTGTGTGCATGTATAGGTGTGTATGTATGGAATGTGTGTGTGCATGTATAGGTGTGTGTGTATGGAATGTGTGTGTGCATGTATAGGTGTGTGTGTGCATGTATAGGTGTGTGTGTATGGCATGTGTGTGTGCATGTATAGGTGTGTGTGTGTATGGAAGGTGTGTATGCATGTATAGGTGTGTATTTATGGAATGTGTGTTCATGTATAGGTGTGTATGTATGTATATGTGTGTATGTATGTAAAGGTGTGTGTGTATGTATGTATGTATAGGTGTGTGTGTATGTATGTATAGGTGTGTGTGTATGTATAGGTGTGTATGTAAGGAATGTGTGTATGCATGTATAGGTGTGTATGTATGGAATGTGTGTATGCATGTATAGGTGTGTATGTATGTATAGGTGTATGTATGAAATGTGTGTTCATGTATAGGTGTGTATGTATGTATATGTGTGTATGCATGTATAGGTGTGTATGTATGGAATGTGTGTATGCATGTATAGGTGTGTATGTATGGAATGTGTGTATGCATGTATAGGTGTGTATGTATGGAATGTGTGTATGCACGGAATGTGTGTGTGCATGTATAGGTGTGTGTGTATGGAATGTGTGTATGTATGTATAGGTGTGTATTTATGGAATGTGTGTATGCATGTAAAGGTGTGTATGTATGGAATGTGTGTGTGCATGTATAGGTGTGTATGTAAGGAATGTGTGTGTGCATGTATAGGTGTGTGTGTGTATGGAATGTGTGTGTGCATGTATAGGTGTGTATGTATGGAATGTGTGTGTGCATGTATAGGTGTGTATGTAAGGAATGTGTATGCATGTATAGGTGTGTATGTATGGAATGTGTGTGTGCATGTATAGGTGTGTGTGTATGGAATGTGTGTGTGTGCATGTATAGGTGTGTATGTAAGGAATGTGTGTGTGCATGTATAGGTGTGTATGTAAGGAATGTGTGTGTGCATGTATAGGTGTGTATGTATAGAATGTGTGTTTGCATGTATATCCATAAATATATGTGTTTTTTGTTTGTGCATTTATGTCTATGTATGTGCATTTGTTTTATATTCGTGTATGCATGTAGATGCATGTGTGTATGCATTGCGTATGTCTGTATATGAGTATGCATGTATGAGAACGTCACAAACATATGTATACGTGTGTGTACGATTGTGTACACATAATGTATGTATACATTATTCTATCATTTATATTTCTTTATTATATCTTTATCTATAACATGCATTTTTTATAACAGGCATTGGTACTCTGAAAAATGAGTGCTTAGAAGGGCCGAATGTCAGACGGGCCTGTGTGCCCAATTTGTAACCCTTTGAAAAATACAGTTTGTTCGTTCGTTCGTTCACAATAAAAAGGTAGGAAGATTCCCATTACTGCTGTTCCCAACAAGGCATATCTGCCTAGTGTCCACTCCATACTGTTATTCCCAACAAGGCATATCTGCCTAGTGTCCACTCCATACTGTTATTCCCAACAAGGCATATCTGCCCAGTGTTCACTCCATACAGTTGTTCACCACAAGGCACATATGCCCAGTGTCCACTCTATTCTACTGCTGTTCCAAAGAAGGGATATCTACTAACTATCCACTCCACACTGCTGTTCCCAACAAGGCATATCTGCCCAGTGTCCACTCTATACTGAGAAAAAAGCAGATCCACGGGGCTGGGCACCGAGCCTGCATACAAGACCGTCCACAGATATTTTATGGTGAACTGCAGCATGCTAACGATCAACTGATGGAGAGAATCAAATATCATTAGGACACTCTTGAAACTGCTCTTCAATCATTCAGCATCAACCCAGAACTGAACTGTCGAAGCTGCTCTTCAATCATTCAGCATCAACCCAGAACTGAACTGTCGAAGCTGCTCTTCAATCATTCAGCAACAACCCAGAACTGAACTGTGGAGGCTGGTCACAGAACTGAGCTAGATGATGCACAACCTTTAAAAATAGTGCATCATTGGTCACAGAGGAGGATGAGAGGGCAGACAGGTGGGAGTGAAGGAGTCAGTGAGTAGGAGAGCGAGAAAGAGAAAAGGGGGAAGGGAGAGAGAGAGAGAGAGAGAGAGAGAGAGAGAGAGAGAGAGAGAGAGAGAGAGAGAGAGAGAGAGAAAGAGAGAGAAAGAGAGAGAGAGAGAGAGAGAGGAAGACAGACCTGTCAGCAGGTGAAATAACATTCCATACAGCAGCCGTTCTCAAGCTGCAGGCAGCAACCCTTGTGTGGGTAGAATGACTCTGACACAGGGGTCGCCACAACACGAGGAACTGCCGCATTAGGAAGAGTGATAGCCACTGTCATAGAGGTTCTAAATTGGTCTACAGTACAGTAGAAGACAGACAGACCGACAGTAAGGAAGACATAGAGGGTGGGGACAGAGAGACATTAAACTGTGTAGAAAGCAGCTAAAATTCAATTACTCTCAAATGTTTGTTTCTGCATGTTGTATGATTGTGCGTATGCAAGTGTGCGTGAGTGTGTGAAATGTGTTACACACATGATAAAACAGACTCGTGACTAGGGCATGTACATTTATCATTGAACTCAAAGCAATATCACAAAAACCATGTATATTCAACAATAAAACAGAGATAAGCTGCAACAAGCAGGTGCCATCAGCAGCAGCAGACATCAGCTGACATCTCTAGGCCCTCTTCAGCCAGCAGACACACATCAGCTGACATCTCTAGGCACTCTTTAGCCAGCAGACACACATCAGCTGACATCTCTAGGCACTCTTCAGCCAGCAGACACACATCAGCTGACATCTCTAGGCACTCTTCAGCCAGCAGACACACATCAGCTGACATATCTAGGCACTCTTCAGCCAGCAGACACACATCAGCAGACATCTCTAGGCACTCTTCAGTCAGCAGACACACATCAGCAGACATCTCTAGGCACTCTTCAGCCAGCAGACACACATCAGCTGACATCTCTAGGCAATCTTCAGCCAGCAGACACACATCAGCTGACATCTCTAGGCACTCGGTAGACAAACAAATCTTCAGCCAGTAGCACCTTGTCTGCAGGGAGAATCTCCAGGGCTTCATCCAACAATATCTGGGCACTTTTCTCATCATTCTGAAAGCAAACACACAACTATGCAGAGACAGAAAGACTATTTAACTGGTTTGTTTATAAAAACTAAAAAAAAAAAAAAAATGTAATTATTGTTTAGCTGAATAAGAAAAACCATGTGATGTTTTCATAGACATCCAAATCATAGATCAGTGATTTTGTTACAGACATTCAAGTCGTAAATCAGCTAGATATTGTCACAAACATTCAAGTCATAGATCAGTGAGATAATGTCACAAACAATAAAGTCATAGATCAGTGAGGCCATCTAGACATCAAAGTCACAGATCAGTGAGATGTCAAGGAAATCCATGATCAGTGATGCCATCATAGATATCCAAGTCACAGATGGGTGAGACGTTGTCACAGACATCCAAGATCAGTGAGATGTTGTCACAGACATCCAAGATCAGTGAGATGTTGTCACAGACATCCAAGATCAGTGAGATGTTGTCACAGACATCCAAGATCAGTGAGATGTTGTCACAGACATCCAAGATCAGTGATGTCATCATAGATATCCAAGATCAGTGATGTCATCATAGATATCCAAGATCATTGATGTCATTATAGATATCCAATATCAGTGATGTCATCATTGATATCCAAGATCAGTGATGTCATCATAGATATCCAAGATCAGTGAGATGTCACAGACATCCAAGATCAGTGATGTCATCATAGATACACTAAAGTCATGAAACAAAAGAGCAGGCTGACAGATGACATGCTATTTACCTACCTTTAGGCTGACAGATTACATGCTATTCACCCACCTTTAGGCTGACAGATGACATGCTATTCACCCACCTTTAAGCTGACAGATGACATGCTATTCACCCACCTTTAGGCTGACAGATGACATGCTATTTACCTACCTTAAGGCTGACAGATGACATGCTATTCACCCACCTTTAGACTGACAGATGACATGCTATTCACCCACCTTTAAGCTGACAGATGACATGCTATTCACCCACCTTTAGGCTGACAGATGACATGCTATTCACCCACCTTTAGGCTGACAGATGACATGCTATTCACCCACCTTTAGGCTGACAGATGACATGCTATTCACCCACCTTTAGGCTGACAGATGACATGCTATTCACCCACCTTTAGGCTGACAGATGACATGCTATTCACCCACCTTTAGGCTGACAGATGACATGCTATTCACCCACCTTTAGGCTGACAGATGACATGCTATTTACCCACCTTTAGGCTGACAGATGACATGCTATTCACCCACCTTTAGGCTGACAGACATGCTATTCACCCACCTTTAGGCTGACAGATTTACATGGCTATTCATGCTATTCACCCACCTTTAGGCTGACAGATGACATGCTATATTGACAGATGACACCACCACCTTTAGGACAGATGACAGATGACATGCTATTCACCCACCTTTAGGCTGACAGATGACATGCTATTCACCCACCTTTAGGCTGACAGATGATATGCTATTCACCCACCTTTAGGCTGACAGATTACATGCTATTTACCTACCTTTAGGCTGACAGATGACATGCTATTCACCCACCTTTAGACTGACAGATGACATGCTATTCACCCACGTTTAGGCTGACAGATTACATGCTATTTACCTACCTTTAGGCTGACATTTTACATGCTATTCACCTACCTTTAGGCTGACAGATGACATGCTATTCACCCACCTTTAGGCTGACAGATTACATGCTATTTACCTACCTTTAGGCTGACAGATGACATGCTATTCACCCACCTTTAGACAGATGACATGCTATTTAGACCAGATGACATGCTATTCACCTTTTAGGCTGACAGATGACAGATGACATGCTATTCACCCACCTTTAGGCTGACAGATGATATGCTATTCACCCACCTTTAGGCTGACAGATGATTCACCTACCTGCTATTCACCCACCTTTAGGCTGACAGATGACATGCTATTCACCCACCTTTAGACTGACAGATGACATGCTATTCACCCACCTTTAGGCTGATGACATGCTATTCACCCACCTTTAGGCTGACAGATGCTATTCACCCACCTTTAGACTGACAGATGCTATTCACCCACCTTTAGACTGACAGATGATATGCTATTCACCTACCTTTAGGCTGACAGATGATATGCTATTCACCCACCTTTAGACTGACAGATGACATGCTATTCACCCACGTTTAGGCTGACAGATTACATGCTATTTACCTACCTTTAGGCTGACAGATTACATGCTATTCACCTACCTTTAGGCTGACAGATGACATGCTATTCACCTACCTTTAGGCTGACAGATGACATGCTATTCACCCACCTTTAGGCTGACAGATTACATGCTATTTACCTACCTTTAGGCTGACAGATGACATGCTATTCACCCACCTTTAGACTGACAGATGACATGCTATTCACCCACCTTTAAGCTGACAGATGACATGCTATTCACCCACCTTTAGGCTGACAGATGATATGCTATCCACCCACCTTTAGGCTGACAGATGACATGCTATTTACCTACCTTAAGGCTGACAGATGACATGCTATTCACCCACCTTTAGACTGACAGATGACATGCTATTCACCCACCTTTAAGCTGACAGATGACATGCTATTCACCCACCTTTAGGCTGACAGATGACATGCTATTCACCCACCTTTAGGCTGACAGATGATATGCTATTCACCCACCTTTAGGCTGACAGATGACATGCTATTCACCCACCTTTAGGCTGACAGATGACATGCTATTCACCCACCTTTAGGCTGACAGATGACATGCTATTTACCCACCTTTAGGCTGACAGATGACATGCTATTCACCCACCTTTAGGCTGACAGATGACATGCTATTCACCCACCTTTAAGCTGACAGATGACATGCTATTCACCCACCTTTAGGCTGACAGATGACATGCTATTCACCCACCTTTAGGCTGACAGATTACATGCTATTTACCCACCTTTAGGCTGACAGATGACATGCTATTCACCCACCTTTAGGCTGACAGATTACATGCTATTTACCCACCTTTAGGCTGACAGATGACATGCTATTCACCCACCTTTAAGCTGACAGATGACATGCTATTCACCCACCTTTAGGCTGACAGATGACATGCTATTCACCCACCTTTAGGCTGACAGATGATATGCTATTCACCCACCTTTAGGTTGACAGATGGCATGCTATTCACCCACCTTTAGGCTGACAGATAACATGCTATTTACCTACCTTTAGGCTGACAGATTACATGCTATTCACCGACCTTTAGGCTGACAGAAACAGGTTTGTACCTAGAGCTGACAGATGACATGCTATTCACCTACCTTTAGACTGACAGATGATATGCTATTCACCTACCTTTAGACTGACAGATGATATGCTATTCACCCACCTTTAGGTTGACAGATGGCATGCTATTCACCCACCTTTAGGCTGACAGATAACATGCTATTTACCTACCTTTAGGCTGACAGATTACATGCTATTCACCGACCTTTAGGCTGACAGAAACAGGTTTGTACCTAGAGCTGACAGATGACATGCTATTCACCTACCTTTAGACTGACAGATGATATGCTATTCACCTACCTTTAGGCTGACAGATGATATGCTATTCACCTACCTTTAGGCTGACAGAAACAGGTTTGTACCTAGAGCTGACAGATGACATGCTATTCACCCACCTTTAGGCTGACAGATGACATGCTATTCACCCACCTTTAGGCTGACAGATAACATGCTATTTACCTACCTTTAGGCTGACAGATTACATGCTATTCACCGACCTTTAGGCTGACAGAAACAGGTTTGTACCTAGAGCTGACAGATGACATGCTATTCACCTACCTTTAGACTGACAGATGATATGCTATTCACCTACCTTTAGACTGACAGATGATATGCTATTCACCTACCTTTAGGCTGACAGATGATATGCTATTCACCCACCTTTAGGCTGACAGAAACAGGTTTGTACCTAGAGCTGACAGATGACATGCTATTCACCCACCTTTAGGCTGACAGATGATATGCTATTCACCTACCTTTAGACTGACAGATGATATGCTATTCACCTACCTTTAGGCTGACAGAAACAGGTTTGTACCTAGAGCTGACAGATGACATGCTATTCACCCACCTTTAGACTGACAGATGACATGCTATTTACCTACCTTTAGGCTGACAGATGACATGCTATTCACCCACCTTTAGGCTGACAGATTACATGCTATTCACCTACCTTTAGGCTGACAGATGATATGCTATTCACCTACCTTTAGGCTGACAGATGATATGCTATTCACCTACCTTTAGGCTGACAGATGATATGCTATTCACCTACCTTTAGACTGACAGATTACATGCTATTCACCTACCTTTAGGCTGACAGAAACAGGTTTGTACCTAGAGCTGACATGGGTGAGAATGAGCATCTTAGCTTCCAAATCTCTGGCCAAAGTTGCTGTCATTTCTGTTGGAAAACAAATTGTTGGTTGTCATCATTTCTGTTGGAAAACAAATTGTTGGTTGTCATCATTTCTGTTGGAGAACAAATTGTTGGTTGTCATCATTTCTGTTGGAAAACAAATTGTTGGTTGTCATCATTTCTGTTGGAAAACAAATTGTTGGTTGTCATCATTTCTGTTGGAAACAAGTTGTTGGTTGTCATCATTTCTGTTGGAAAACAAATTGTTGGTTGCCACCATTTCTGTTGGAAACAAGTTGTTGGTTGCCACCATTTCTGTGATAATTCAATATAAACTTCTCACTTCTGTGAAAATGCACATTTTGTGTTGATGGTGTATTTCTGTCAGAATGCACATTTTGTCTTGCTGTCATTATGTGAGAATGCAAGGCTGGGTGCTGTCATTTCTGTGGGAATGCAAAGTTATGTTCCTTTTATTTCTGCAGGAATGCAATGTTGGGTCACTGTCATTATGTGGGAATGCAATGTTGGGTTACTGTCATTTCTGTGGAAATGCAATGTTGATTCGCTGTCATTTCTGTGGGAATGCAATGTTGGGTTTCTGTCATTTCTGTGGGAATGCAATGTTGGATTGCCGTCATTTCTGTGAGAATGCAATGTTGGGTTGCTGTCATTTCTGTGGGAATGCAATGTTGGGTTGCTGTCATTTCTGTGGCAAAGCAATGTTGGGTTGCTGTCATTTCTGTGGAAATGCAATGTTGGGTTGCTGTCATTTCTGTGGGAATGCAATGTTGGGTTGCTGTCATTTTTGTGGGAATGCAATGTTGGGTTGCTATCGTTTCTGTGGGAATGCAATGTTGGGTTGCAGTATTTACTGTGAGAAAAGAAAACTTTTTACAACTGTAAGTTACCTGGTGTGGAGTGTCCATTTTGGACGCACTGTTCTCTCAAAGAATTTTCCAATGTGGCTTCGTGTACCAAGACTGTTGCTCCCTTGGCCAGTTTCAAGAGTTGTGTGGAATCTGAGGAGTCTCCAGATATCACCAGAGTTCTCCCGGCTACAGGTGAACCTAGCACCTGGTCTGGGGTTACCTGTGGACACCATCTTGGTTTCAGCTGATTGATTTCTGTCTCTGACACAGTTTATGGAATTCAGGCCAACAGGTTTATTGAAGGCTGACTGAGTGAACATCAAACAAAACTCTACAAGGTCAGCCCTAGATTCAATGTAAGCCAGAGTTCCAGTGTCATGGCAAATGCAACACCCTTTAACTGTTCTATTGCCTGTGCCAGCAAAAACTTCACAGACTGCCTATTATTTGCCACTTGTGAAAACACTGAAAAAGACTGCAGTCTCTGCACAGCCAACAGCATACACAGGCATAACACATATAAGGCAGCTGCCTGTCTGCCAGCACAAACAGTCCACCGCTAGAACTGCAGCTGATCATTGATGGAAGCAGCAATTAAAACAAATCAGCAGTTGCACATGCAGCATTGCACATGGCACAATTATTCTGTGGCAACAGGTGGCCCACCATTTGTAAATCTGCAGTAATTAACTCTCGAAAAATGACCATGGCTCCCAGGTCGACCCAGCCTTGAGTGGGTACTGGGTGCAGTCCCGGGAAGTAAAGGCAGCCGGCGTCATGCTGACCACATCACCCATCTTGTGCCGACTGGTCTATATAAATTTAGGTCTAGCCCTATATGCCATATACACCTAAAGGCATGGAAAAGGGTCCTTTACTTACTTACTACATAGATTGAACCATGCACTCAACTTAGCAGCTGGGCAATGGAACTATATACACTCAAATCTACACAAGGGAACACACACAAAACAGTAAATCGTGTCTAGAGCAGATAACATGTCATAACTTTAACATCTGGCTGCCTATCCAACAAACTGGACTGGAACGCAAAAATAATCCATGTTCAACTAGACGCATTACAGTTTCCGTGGAAAAGTAGTCAAGCCACCTGTCTCACACTCTGAAGGTCGTGGTTTGTTTCTTGCTCAGTTCCAGAGTTACATTTTTACAGAGATCCCTGGGGATCATCACCAAAGCTACAGAGTGTGTGCTTCATGCAATGCTCTTGGCAGATGGCTAGCCACTCTGTAGATAGATACTGAGCCAAATGGGAGAAATCCAGAGCAATGAAGTTGGTCCTCTCAACTTGACTGATGTTTGTACCAGATGCGACTTCAACATCATCCACATTTGTTGATGACTGATGTTTGTACCAAATGTGACTTCAACATCATCCACATTTGTTGATGTCTGATGTTTGTACCAGATGTGACTTCAACATCATCCACATTTGTTGATAACTGATGTTTGTACCAGATGTGACTTCAACATCATCCACATTTGTTGATGACTGATGTTTGTACCAGATGTGACTTAAACATCATCCACATTTGTTGATGTCTGATGTTTGTACCAGATGTGACTTCAACATCATCCACATTTGTTGATGACTGATGTTTGTACCAGATGTGACTTCAACATCATCCACATTTGTTGATGACTGATCATCTTGATCATACCTCACATTCTATTACTAGATATGCTAGTGGTTAATCAACAAGAATAAACAAAGAGTAAATCAACAAAAATATATACATCCTAGTTAATCAACATGAATATATAACTAGTTATAACTAAGAGTTAATCAACATCAATATGTAACTATTTATAACTAAGAGTTAATCAACATGAATATTCAACTAGTTATAACTAAGAGCTAATCAACATAAATATATAACTATTTATAACTAAGAGTTAATCAACATTCATTAATTTCTATATGTATGTGGCAGTGAATCAAATATTATGTACACACAGATGCTGCCAAGTCTGACCTCAGTGAATCAAATATTATGTACACCCAGATTCTGCCAAGTCTGACCTCAGTGAATCAAATATTATGTCGCCCAGATGCTGCCAAGTCTGACCTCAGTGAATCAAATATTATGTCGCTCAGATGCTGCCAAGTCTGACTTTAGTGAATCAAATATTATGTCGCCCAGATGCTGCCAAGTCTGACTTTAGTGAATCAAATATTATGTCGCCCAGATGCTGCCAAGTTTAACTTCAGTGAACCAAATATTATGTACACCCAGATGCTGCCAAGTCTGACTTTAGTGAATGAAAACAATTGTATAATGTTACCTGTGTGCCACAGATGTGTGACGTGATCAAGGCTGACTGATGTGCTACCTGTGTGCCACAGTTGTGTGATGTTTCCTGTGTGCCTCAGCTGTGTGATGTTACCTGTGTGCCACAATTGTGTAATGTTACCTGTGTACCACAGTTGTGTGATGTTACCTGTGTGCCAAAGTTGTGTAATGTTACCTGTGTGCCACAATTGGGTAATGTTACCTGTGTGCCACAGTTGAGTGATGTTACATGTGTGCCACAATTGTGTAATGTTACCTGTGTGCCACAGTTGTGTGATGTTACCTGTGTGCCACAGTTGTGTAATGTTACATGTGTGCCACAGTTGTGTGATGTTACCTGTGTGCCACAGTTGTGTGATGTTACCTGTGTGCCACAGTTATGTGATGTTACCTGTGTGCCACAGTTGTGTAATGTTACCTGTGTGCCACAGTTGTGTGATGTTACCTGTGTGCCACAGTTGTGTGATGTTACCTGTGTGCCAAAGTTGTGTAATGTTACCTGTGTGCCACAGTTGTGTAATGTTACCTGTGTACCACAGTTGTGTGATGTTACCTGTGTGCCACAGTTGTGTAATGTTACCTGTGTGCCACAGTTGTGTAATGTTACCTGTGTGCCACAGTTGTGTAATGTTACCTGTGTGCCACAGTTGTGTAATGTTACCTGTGTGCCACAGTTGTGTAATGTTACCTGTGTGCCACAGTTGTGTAATGTTACCTGTGTGCCACAGTTGTGTAATGTTACCTGTGTGCCACAGTTGTGTGATGTTACCTGTGTGCCACAGTTGTGTGATGTTACCTGTGTGCCACAGTTGTGTAATGTTACCTGTGTGCCACAGTTGTGTAATGTTACCTGTGTGCCACAGTTGTGTGATGTTACCTGTGTGCCACAGTTGTGTGATGTTACCTGTGTGCCACAGTTCAGGACTACAGGTTCCCCAGCTTTGAGTCTGGCATACTGCGGTCCCGGCTTGACACCCAGTGACTTCAGTTTGTCAGCATCCAGTCTGGCAGGGATAAACAAGACCACTGGTCACTGTTGTTCAGTTAGACATACACAAGACTAGGATGTCAGTGTCCAGTCTGGCAGGGATAAACAAGACCACTGGTCATTGTTGGTCAGTTAGACATACACCAGACTAGGATGTCAGTGTCTAGTCTGGCACCCACACAAAACCACTGGTCACTGTTGGTCAGTTAGACATACACCAGACTAGGATGTCAGTGTCCAGTCTGACAGGGATAAACAAGACCACTGGTCACTGTTGGTCAGTTAGAGATACACCAGACTAAGATGTCAATGTAGTCTGGCAGGGATAAACAAGACCACTGGTTACTGTTGGTCAGTTAGAGATACACCAGACTAGGATGTCAGTGTCCAGTCTGGCAGGGATAAACAAGACCACTGGTCACTGTTGGTCAGTTAGACATACACCAGACTAGGATGTCAGTGTCCAGTCTGGCACCCACACAAGACCACTGGTCACTGTTGGTCAGTTAGACATACACCAGACTAGGATGTCAGTGTCCAGTCTGGCAGGGATAAACAAGACCACTGGTCACTGTTAGTCACTTAGACATACACCAGACTAGGATGTCAGTGTTCAGTCTGGCAGGGATAAACAAGACCACTGGCCACTGTTGGTCAGTTTAGACATACACCAGACTACAATGTCAGTGTCCAGTCTATCAGGGACAAACATAACCACTGGTAACTTTTGGTTAGTTAACCCTTTCGCTGCTATGGAAGAGATAACTCGTCTGCCCGACAGGCTGCTAAAGACGAGATAACCCAGCTGCCAATTTCTGTGCCCTCACTGCTAAGGACGTCCTCGACATTTTTTTACAGATTGCTAAGAACAGTAATTCTTAGGGGTGAAATAGCAATATACATTACCTTAATCTGATCAAACTGACCCGTTTACATACAATTAAAACCCTTATCACGTGAGTTTAGGCGTATTTAGATGCATTTCACATTATCCTGTTGCTTTGTTACCATAGAAGCATTCTAAATACAAAATAACAAGAACATTTGTATAAATAAAGAAGAATAAATGGAGTTTCTTTCAAGTAGTAGTAGTAAGGATCACTTTGAAGCGTGTGAGTTATATGAGCTGGGTTATCTTCTCGGCACGCCTGCGGACACGTGTACTTCTGGCTGTGAACAAGACTGACCAGTGACCATATGACCTAGCTATCTACATCGACTGGATTTGAAACAGATCCAAAATAATCAAAATAAAGATATGGTCACGTACTGACATGATGATTAATATTAATGTTAATAATATACTATACAACTGACATAAATGTGTTTGTCTATTAAAGTATACAATACTGGTCTTTTTTTTTAGTTCATAGTTTCATGTGAATTTCTAGTGTAGTTGGTATCACGTCTGCCTTACAATCGGAATGTCCAGCGTTCAACCCCTACGTGCCGTTTTTTTTTTTTAAATTAATTATTTTAAATGCAAATTTTAAATTTAAGCTCTTAGCAATTTCGGCAACAGATCACCGAAGTAATAATTAATTAAACATTTTGTCACGTGCGTTCAGGTGGATTTAGATGCTTTACACGTTATCCTGTTCCCTTGTGAAGCGTGGTTGGTGTACTGTGCACATTCATTATATAAAGTTGTTGTGGGGAAAAACACACCTGTTGCCGAATTTCACTTAATGTTAGTAAGAGAAATTCTACATAAATATTGCAAGGAAAAGAGAAAAAGTGTAGGAGGACAAAAAAGTGAAGATCTGCCACTTCGTTTAGTAAAAAGGCATTTACCTTCAATAATAAAGTCCGTAACATGGCAGAAAAAATTCCCAACAAGAAAGTGTGTGGTATGCGCAAAAAGCAAAAAACGACGGGAAACCAGATACATGTGCAAGGAATGTGATTTGGCATTGTGTGTCGCACCTTGTTTTGAAATACACACAAAGATATTAATAATAATAAAAACCATGTATTTGCTTACTAAAGTGTTTTGTGTTTGCTTTGTAAGTTTGTAGTGTTTTCTTTTTGTTAATGAGTTTTCATGGCGTAGTAATAGCCCGTCTGACTTGTCAGCGCAAAGTTCAACCACACTCCTTCAACGATTTTTTATTTTAGGTGTACAATTTTAACCCCGTGCCGCAAGCGAGTCTTCTGCTTTTGAAGGAAAAAACGGTATTCAGCACAGGGGGAAAGATTAGCTCTCGCCTGGATTAGCACAGTGGTTACGTTGGCTGGCGGAGGGCGCAGCAGCGAAAGGGTTAAGCACACACCAGACTAAGATGTCTTAAAGTGTTGTGTGCAAATACATGTTACAGATCCAGCTGTATTGTAAGCAGACTGTTGGTTCCTTGCCTTTCAGGCAAATGCCCTTTGACTTAGAAAAAAATCCCTCACTTGACACGCTTTTCAATGGAGGTAGTGGATCTTTTTTTATTTTTTTCTCCACAATGAGGCCATTGAACACATGAACATGTGAGGTTGTGGTAAACTTGACTTTCCCTTCACAAACTAGACAAGACAGTGGCATGTATGGGTCTGGTAAACCTACCCTCACAAACTAGACAATACAGTGTCATGTGTGCAAGGCATGAATTGAGCCATCACAGAACTGAACAAGCAATCAATCAATCTCAAGCCTGTTGTTAAGAACCAATGAAGAGTTTCTGTTGGAAACAGCCTGTAGATGAGGCAGACAGATTGAAAGAGAGAGACAGAGAGAGAGAGGTGGGAGAGGGTGAAAAACAGAGAGAGGAAGGCAGATAGAGAGAAAGAGGGAGAAACAGAGAGAGAAAGAGAGGAGGGGATAGGGAGAGAGAGAATCAGAGAAGGGGTGAGAGAGAGCACAATAAAGCTATAACTAAACTCAAACTATCAGCTACGCCACTGAAACATCATCTGAACTGACCTGCCAGATTTCTCTGCTTCCTGAATGACGAAGGAAAAACATGGCAACCTGTGTTTTACCCAGACTGCCTTGACTGCCAGTTTGGAGTCTGAGAACCTGTTGTCAGAGTGGAAAATAAATGTTAGATCAAGGCAGTCTTTCATGTTGCTGTTGATGATGCTGGATCAAACACCACACAGCAAACACATGGCACCATGACATTATCTGTAACAGAAATATTCAGGGACAAACGAACACTGCAGTCTGCAAACAGAACAATATTAGTGGTGTTTCTGGATACATGTATGTGAGTGGGTGTCTGTGCCCGTACACAGAGGAGAAAAGAAGTCAGGTGGGTGGGGGGGAATATATATATATATGTAGAGAGAGAGAGAGAGGGGAGAGGGGAGGAAGAGAGAGAGAGAGAGAGATCATTATTTTACTAACTGACCACACAGAGATTGCTTGTAAACAATACAGAATTTACAAATAAATGGTGGAGAAATCACAACAGTGCCAGAATAGCAGTCAACAACAGAACAACGGTGGCTCATGAAAAGGACATAATCACAGTTACAGTCAGTATAAAAATGACAAGATGGTTAATGAGATGAGATCTCTACAAGACACCTTCAGTTACAGATATCATATCTACAAGACACCTACAGTTACAGATGCCATATCTACAAGATACCCACAGTTACAGATGCTATATCTACAAGATACCCACAGTTACAGATGCTATATCTACAAGATACCCACAGTTACAGATGTCATATCTACAAGATACCCACAGTTACAGATGCTATATCTACAAGATACCCACAGTTACAGATGTCATATCTACAAGATACCCACAGTTACAGATGTCATATCTACAAGATACCTACAGTTACAGATGTCATATCTACAAGATACCCACAGTTACAGATGTCATATCTACAAGATACCCACAGTTACAGATGATATATCTACAAGATACCTACAGTTACAGATGTCATATCTACAAGATACCCACAGTTACAGATGTCATATCTACAAGATACCCACAGTTACAGATGTCATATCTACAAGATATCCACAGTTACAGATGTCATATCTACAATATACCCAGTTACAGATATCATATCTACAATATACCCACAGTTACAGATGTCATATCTACAAGATACCCACAGTTACAGATGTCATATCTACAAGATACCCACAGTTACAGATGTCATATCTACAAGATACCCACAGTTACAGATGCTATATCTACAGGTAACCCACAGTTACAGCTGCTATATCTACAAGATACCCACAGTTACAGATGCTATATCTACAAGATTCCCACAGTTACAGCTGCTATATCTACAAGATACCCACAGTTACAGATGCTATATCTACAAGATTCCCACAGTTACAGATGTCATATCTACAAGATACCTACAGTTACAGATGTCATATCTACAAGATACCCACAGTTACAAATGTCATATCTACAAGATACCCACAGTTACAAATGTCATATCTACAAGATACCCACAGTTACAGATGTCATGTCTACAAGATACCCACAGTTACAGATGTCATATCTACAAGATACCCACAGTTACAGATATCATATCTACAGATGATATCTACAAGACAATGACAGTTACAGATGTCATATCTACAAGATACCCACAGTTACAGATATCATATCTACAAGATACCCACAGTTTCAGATGTCATATCTACAAGATACCCACAGTTACAGATGTCACATCTACAAGATACTAACAGTTACAGATGCCATATCTACAAGACAATGACAGTTACAGGTGACAAATCTACAAGACAATGACAGTTACAGATGACAAATCTACAAAACAATGACAGTTACAGATGCCACATCTACAAGACAATGGCAGTTACAGATGCCATATCTACAAGACAATGACAGTTACAGATGTTATATCTACAAGACAATGACAGTTACAGATGCCATATCTACAAGACAATGATAGTTACAGATGCCATATCTACAAGACAATGACAGTTACAGATGTTATATCTACAAGACAATGACAGTTACAGATGACATATCTACAAGACAATGACAGTTACAGATGACATATCTACAAGACAATGACAGTTACAGATGACATATCTACAAGACAATGACAGTTACAGATGACATATCTACAAGACAATGACAGTTACAGATGACATATCTACAAGACAATGACAGTTACAGATGACATATCTACAAGACAATGACAGTTACAGAGACATATCTACAAGACAATGACAGTTACAGATGTCATATCTACAAGACAATGACAATTACAGATGTTATATCTACAAAACAATGACAGTTACAGATGACATATCTACAAGACAATGACAGTTACAGATGACATATCTACAAGACAATGACAGTTACAGATGACATATCTACAAGACAATGACAGTTACAGCTGACATATCTACAAGACAATGACAGTTACAGCTGACATATCTACAAGACAATGACAGTTACAGCTGACATATCTACAAGACAATGACAGTTACAGATACCATATCTATAAGACAATGATAGTTACAGCTGACATATCTACAAGACAATGACAGTTACAGCTGACATATCTACAAGACAATGACAGTTACAGATACCATATCTACAAGACAATGATAGTTACAGATGACATATCTACAAGACAATGAGTTACAGCTGTATCTACAAGCTGATAGTTACAGCTGACAATCTACAAGACAATGATAGTTACAGCTGACATATCTACAAGACAATGATAGTTACAGATGACATATCTACAAGACAATGATAGTTACAGATGCCATATCTACAAGACAATGATAGTTACAGCTGACATATCTACAAGACAATGACAGTTACAGATACCATATCTACAAGACAATGATAGTTACAGCTGACATATCTACAAGACAATGATAGTTACAGCTGACATATCTACAAGACAATGATAGTTACAGCTGACATATCTACAAGACAATGATAGTTACAGATGACATATCTACAAGACAATGATAGTTACAGATGCCATATCTACAAGACAATGATAGTTACAGCTGACATATCTACAAGACAATGATAGTTACAGCTGACATATCTACAAGACAATGATAGTTACAGCTGACATATCTACAAGACAATGATAGTTACAGATGACATATCTACAAGACAATGATAGTTACAGCTGACATATCTACAAGACAATGACAGTTACAGATGTTATATCTACAAGACAATGATAGTTACAGATGTTATATCTACAAGACAATGATAGTTACAGCTGACATATCTACAAGACAATGATAGTTACAGATGACATATCTACAAGACAATGATAGTTACAGATGACATATCTACAAGACAATGATAGTTACAGCTGACATATCTACAAGACAATGATAGTTACAGATGACATATCTACAAGACAATGATAGTTACAGCTGACATATCTACAAGACAATGATAGTTACAGATGCCATATCTACAAGACAATGATAGTTACAGCTGACATATCTACAAGACAATGATAGTTACAGATGACATATCTACAAGACAATGATAGTTACAGATGCCATATCTGGTTGTCATCAGCTTGGATGATGCTTCCTGGTTTCTCACATGGATGAAATGGAATCACAGAAAGAATCTCAAGTGGCCAATCCTACACAAAGACAAGTAAAAATAAAAGTGTCAAAATATATTCCTATTGATTAAATATTTTATCTGTGTCACATACAATACATACAGATGTATACGGAAGGTGACTTGGTTTTATTTGTGTCACATACAGATGTAACCAGAAGTTGACTTTTTTAAAAATCTATGTCATACAGAATATATCCAGCTATATGAAATACTGACTGTTTTATCTGTGTCATACAGAATATATCCAGCTATATGAAATACTGACTGTTTTATCTGTGTCATACAGAATATATCCAGCTATATGAAATACTGACTGTTTTATCTGTGTCATACAGAATATATCCAGCTATATGAAATACTGACTGTTTTATCTGTGTCATACAGAATATATCCAGCTATATGAAATACTGACTGTTTTATCTGTGTCATACAGAATATATCCAGCTATATGAAATACTGACTGTTTTAAAAATAGAAATGGGAGGAAGATAGAAACATGGAGTGAGAATATCAAACCTTATCTCTTGGAAAAAGAGATGAGAGGAAAGCAGGAAGATAGAAACATGGAGTGAGAATATCAAACCTTATCTCTTGGAAAAAGAGATGAGAGGAAAGCAGGAAGATAGAAACATGGAGTGAGGATATCAAACCTTATCCCTTGCAAATAGAGATGAGAGGAAAGCAGGAAGATAGAAACATGGAGTGAGGATATCAAACCTTGTCACTTAGAAATAGAGATGAGAGGAAAGCAGGAAGATAGAAACATGGAGTGAGGATATCAAACCTTATCACTTAGAAATAGAGATGAGAGGAAAGCAGAGATACAAACATGGAGTGAGGATATCTAACCTTATCTCTTGGAAACAGAGATGAGAGGAAGGGAGGAAGATTGAAACATGGAGTGAGGATATCAAACCTTGTCTCTTGGAAGTAGAGATGAGGGGAAGGGAGGAAGATAGTAACATTGAGTGAGGATAACTAACCTGATATTGTTAAAACAGGAATGGGAGGAAGATAGTAACATTGAGTGAGGATAACTAACCTGATATTGTTAAAACAGGAATGGGAGGAAGATAGTAACATTGAGTGAGGATAACTAACCTGTTATTGTTAAAACAGGAATGGGAGGAAGATAGTAACATTGAGTGAGGATAACTAACCTAATATTGTTAAAACAGGAATAGGAGGAAGATAGTAACATGGAGTGGGGATTACTAACCTTATATTGTTAAAACAGAGATGGGAGGAAGATAGTAACATGTAGTGAGGATATCTAACCTGATATTCTCAAAACAGAGATGGGAGGAAAATAGAAACATGGAGTAAGGATAACTAACCTGGACACTGTCTGGGATCTGGAGAGGCAGATGTTGCAATTCATGAATGACAAAACTAAAATCAATGTCTGAACGTGAGATGGCCAAGCTGGTACAAAGGTAGTGACGTAATCCTAGAGGCCCGTATATTTCCACCGGCTCCTGGCGTTGGTTATTTTGGCTGATAGTGCACAGCAGTCCTGGCAGTCCGTACAGCTGAAAACATATGATTTAATGTAGAGACCAGTTGTTCCAATACATTATGTACAGCTGAAAACATATGATTTAATGTAGAGACCAGTTGTTCCAATACATTATGTACAGCTGAAAACATATGATTTAATGTAGAGACCAGGTGTTCCAATACATTATGTACAGCTGAAAACATATGATTTAATGTAGAGACCAGGTGTTCCAATACATTATGTACAGCTGAAAACATATGATTTAATGTAGAGACCAGTTGTTCCAATACATTATGTACAGCTGAAAACATATGATTTAATGTAGAGACCAGTTGTTCCAATACATTATGTACAGCTGAAAACATATGATTTAATGTAGAGACCAGGTGTTCCAATACATTATGTACAGCTGAAAACATATGATTTAATGTAGAGACCAGGTGTTCCAATACATTATGTACAGCTGAAAACATATGATTTAATGTAGAGACCAGGTGTTCCAATACATTATGTACAGCTGAAAACATATGATTTAATGTAGAGACCAGTTGTTCCAATACATTATGTACAGCTGAAAACATATGATTTAATGTAGAGACCAGTTGTTCCAATACATTATGTACAGCTGAAAACATATGATTTAATGTAGAGACCAGGTGTTCCAATACATTATGTACAGCTGAAAACATATGATTTAATGTAGAGACCAGGTGTTCCAATACATTATGTACAACTGAAAACATGATTTAATGTAGAGACCAGGTGTTCCAATACATTATGTACAGCTGAAAACATATGATTTAATGTAGAGACCAGTTGTTCCAATACATTATGTACAGCTGAAAACATATGATTTAATGTAGAGACCAGGTGTTCCAATACATTATGTACAGCTGAAAACATATGATTTAATGTAGAGACCAGGTGTTCCAATACATTATGTACAACTGAAAACATATGATTTAATGTAGAGACCAGGTGTTCCAATACATTATGTACAGCTGAAAACATATGATTTAATGTAGAGACCAGTTGTTCCAATACATTATGTACAGCTGAAAACATATGATTTAATGTAGAGACCAGTTGTTCCAATACATTATGTACAGCTGAAAACATTTGATTTAATGTAGAGACCAGTTGTTCCAATACATTATGTACAGCTGAAAACATATGATTTAATGTAGAGACCAGGTGTTCCAATACATTATGTACAGCTGAAAACATATGATCTTATGTAGAGACCAGGTGTTTCAATACATTATGTACAGCTGAAAACATATGATTTAATGTAGAGACCAGGTGTTCCAATACATTATGTACAGCTGAAAACATATGATCTAATGTAGAGACCAGTTGTTCCAATACATTATGTACAACTGAAAACATATGATCTAATGTAGAGACCAGTTGTTCCAATACATTATGTAAAGCTAAAAACATATGATTTTCCACAGAGACCAGTTATTACAATACATTCTGTACAGATGAAGACATCTGATCTAACACAGAGACCAGTTATTACAATACATTCTGTACAGCTGAAGATATCTGATCTAACACAGAGACCAGTTGTTACAATACATTCCATTCAGCTGTAAATGTGTGCAGGCTTGATAAGTTTGAGCAAGGAGAGGAGTGGGTCAAGGTGCATGAACAAGTTTCAGACATGTGTAGGGTTCTAATCACATTAAGTCGTGAGTGCAGAGACTGGCCAGCTGGTACTGCAGAATCAGAAGTTCAACAAATAATTCATGGTTATCAGGTACATGGTTATCTGGTACATGGTTGTCTGGTGCATGGTTATCTGGTACATGGTTATCTGGTACATGGTTATCTGGTACATGGTTATCTGTTTGTCAGGGACCTAAACTACTCTACTTGTTTAAATGGCTCGCTAGGAAGGCCAGCTGACAGACTCTACTACCCAAACACACTTAAGGCGACACTCCGGCTGAGTACAACCATTATCTTTAATATACAATGAACATTAGACGTACAAACACTTCAACTGGGCTAAGCAGCTCCCATCCGAAACTGCCTTGGCGATGACAGCTTTACAATCACTAATCACCCCAGGCCAGCTCCCATGGATCCAGGGGAGCACGACTCTTAGCTAACAGTGTCTCAGTGCCAATCAATCCGCCGTCGATTGCCAAAACGGGACTTCAGCGATACACGAGAAGTGTATGGCCTAAGCGCGCCCGGGCAGTGTAATCGCCATTACCAGGCGCGTCACCTATGATTAACTACTTAAACAAATACTACCTGTAATATCTAATACACAAAGACCTTAACTCTCTCTACCATCTAGCCGACAACAATAAATACAAATAAATACGGCCTATCACAGACACTAAATACGAATATCCTATTTGTACCTAACCGTCACTAACCTAACCGTTACCTCGTCGTTAAACTGTTGTCCTGTCTCTTCTCTGTCGATAAGCACACACAACCGTCGTCAACAACTGTCCGCTCACAAGTCCCCCAAAATCCGCTTGGACCCAGCCTTTTGTATTTCCTCCCGAGTTCATAGCAAAATCCGTAGCACTCCGTGTCGGCTGAGTGAACTCGACCTGGCCTCTAAACTGGGCACGGCTTATTGCGTGAACGAGCTGTACGTTCACACACTGAGTTTGCGCTGGAGGTCAACTGGTACAAGCGTGATGATTCACGATTCTTACTTCATGATTCCCGAACTGGCCTCTGACATCCGCCCCTCCTTAGGAAAGATACTTCCTGACAACAGACGTCCAAGTTCGTTGCCTAAGTCTGTAGTCAAGTATCTCTCTATCGGGTATGGGATGTCCACATGGTCGTGTCAACCTCTTGGTTAATTAAATCTAAGATGTCCTACGTTACAAGTCCAGTGTCAATATCCTGATGTCAGGTTAATGTTTACATTAGTTTGATATATTCATTCTTCTGAGTCACTTAATACACATAAGTTTCTTTGGGGTTTGTATACACGTGGGAATAACTCTTCCCTCTGTGGCTGTCAATGATGTGAATACCTGTCACAAATATGCCACCATTTTCTGACACCTTCTGATCATAATGGTGATGACTAAAAAAAAATTATGTGGGTGGACAATCAACCTGCCCGGGACCCACTAACCCAACTACACTCCCGTGCCTAGTTGGACGCCACCGACTGCGCTACCCAGCGAATACATATCAATGGTCGTCATAGATATCAAAGACTCTCCCAGAGTATCTATGGTTAATATGGAAGCCTCTCGTCTTCCTGACATACCGTCGTGAATGTGTCTCTATTTCAAGCATCCCTGCTGCGGACACTAGTCACACCTTCTGACCCACAGTGCAGTATAAATAGTAAACCCAAATGTGGCTTGTGAGACACATCCACAACCAACAGGGATGAGGTCAAACCTCTAGTGTTTTACCCTGTTGTTCAGTATTCAGTGTAATCTGTGGTTACTCTCAGTGAACATTCAGAATACTAATATAAATCAACATCTGTTTTATAAATACCAAATAAAAAATAATCTACTTTATGTTATTAATTTATTTTATTTTTAAGTTTTTTCTTTACTGAAAAAAAAATAATAATAAAAAAGAAAAAATAAGATCAATGTTCGAAAAATAAATTCAAAGTTATGGAAAAAAATAAAATAAAAGTTTGAATTTTAAATTTTAGTTAGATACCGTCTGAAACCTATAGTCTACGATTCGTCCTGTTTATATTCCAATTACAGTTACAATTACATTTACATTATGTCTACATTTTTATAATCATTTACTCACATAGTTCATGCAGCAAGTTGGCAGTTGCGCTGTCATCCACCAAAACCCAAATGTGGTTGACTTCACAACAAACAACACGTTGCATTTAACATTTACTTAGTGTTTAGTTTTATAAGAAAGGAAAAACCAAAAAAAAAAAATTAACTTAAACTTTAACATGAAAGAACTAAAAGAAAGAAAAGGAAAAAAAAAATTTTATCTTTTTATACCTTAACTTATGAGAACAAAATAGAAGAAAAAAGAAAAAAAAAATATAAACAAAAAACATTTCACTATCCCAAATGCAAAATGTTACAAATCCAAAATAAATAAGGTATGCATATACGTAATAATTATAAACCAAAACATTGAAGTGTAAATATAAAATACATAGTATGCATAAATATAATACCACAAATAAGATGTACACATATACATATACATTGCACAACACATATGAACTAACAAATACAGTACATAACAAATATAACATAAACATAAGACAACAAATATCACACGTAACATATATGTTAATGCACATTATCAATGATATATGGATTATCCAAATAATATTACATAATGTATGCAACATAGAATATGCACATATAATAATGTCATGTCACATAACCTTGCACACAATTTTATTCCACTTTCATACATCTCACACTCTATGAAGAACCTTGATCCATGATTTGCGTGACGTCCAGATCTTGAAGACAAAACTGTTCATCCTGAAGAATTTTCATAGTTTATACTTTGGTATTTTAGGGAGTGGAATACCAAATATTTCCATGTTCAGGTAGATCTTGTAGTCAATGAAGTCAAAATATGGGAATTTCTTAAAGTTCTGTTGAATTTTGTTAACTGTTTCTTGGGAGAGGTACGTGTTGTGGGAAACTTTTCTAGTATTTTGAGAACTGTTAATTTCGAACTGTAAATTTCTGCTGCACTGCACATCGGTATTAATATACATCAGGCCGTTGGAGCACATCAGAATGTTATTGCGAGGCCTTTCTTTATTGAAGTTTTAAATGTACCACTTTACCACTGAATATGGTACCAAGTAAGTTATCAATAGAGTCTACATTCTGGAACAGAACAATTGAAATGCTCATTGATGAAAATGTTTTAGATTGGCACTTCCGGTTGTATCAATTAGTAATGTGGCACCAAATCAATGATATCTTGAATCTGCACACTGGACTAACAATTTAAAATGTCAAATCAATAGTTCAAAAGTTTATGCAAGTTATGCAAACTTGTGTTGTGTTGATTTTTATA